CCTGTGATGATTTGTTAGGGGCGGGCTTCCCTGACAGGAACAGAGTCCAAACATCATAAAGTTCAGTCGCTCTGTCATATCAAAAGTGTTGTACAATCTCTACGACAGCATTACAACCTTTCTTCCTTTTTGTATGCTTTGTTCTTAGCTTATTTCCCCCAAAAGGCCCCTGCCATACAACCAAGGCACCCTTAATCCAATGACTATCTCTAAAGATTCACCCATCCTGGGTTTCATATATTGAAAACCATAGAAAAATACAAAACAAAGAGTCTAACAACAATAACAAAATAAAACTGAAACATCCCAGTTGGAAAGTGTATAATATGTGAATCCTGTAGCAAGATAATGACTTAAAAAAAAAACAACGAAAAAAACCCCCCAAAAACAAAAACCTATCATGAGCAATGGTTCCCATTGGTGAAAGAGGAAGAGTTGTTCTTTAAGGGGCACTGAGTTTTTGTTAATGGTGATGGAATACTTTGGAATAGAATATCAATTATAGTGATACAGCATGAAGAGTATAATCAATGGCATTGAATTATATATGTAGAAGTTGTTGAATTGGATAATGTCTTGTTTATATTTTTGGCACAATTTGAAAAAAAGTAATTACATGAATCACAACGAGTACAAGGGAGAAGAAAATTTTCTATAATTGACTGGTGATGATTGTGTAACTCTTCTTGCTGTGATTGAATGATTGAATTGTATGGCGTGCAGATGAAATACTAATACAAATATTTAAAAATAAAATATAAGTAAATAAGTACCATGATAAAAGAGAACTAGGCATGTACATATCCTTGGGCAGTGTTCTGTAATTATTTAAGGTTGTAATACAAACGTTTGGTGAGTCTGGTAAGCACAAACTTCAAGTAGGAGTTCTGTTACAGGGTCACTAACATACAGACTGGGAAGTGTGAAGTTCTTTTTATGAAACTCTGAAAGCCTAACTTTGGGCTGTCTTGTGTCTGATCACCTGGAATCTCTCCATCTAGAGCTGTGCCCCTGCAGTTGAGGGCTGTGCCCAGGGAGTGTTGGTTTCCCTGCAATTCCAGGACATCTGTGGTCCAGGTGGGTCATGTCTGTCCCCGAGCTGGGAGAAGCTCTCAGCCCAGGAGATGGCAGCTGGAAGTCATGTGTGGGATGGTGACATCAGAGCAGATCTGGCAAGTCCCTGGGAGTGCAGACACTGTGTCCTCAGTGGTAATGGACAGGATGGAGGTTCAGGTCCACCTCAGAAGGGACGCAGTTCTTCTCAAAAACATGGAGTTGCCATGACTCTCAATCACCTTCTTGCCAACTGGCTTGGATTTTTTTTTTAAGGGTATGAGTGGGAGGACTATACTTACTACAAGGAGGATAGGGTGAGGAATTGACGTTTCTGCATATCTTGGCTGAATGTCTTCTCATAACCCCCCAAACTCACCATTTCTATCTCACCTAACATGGGTAATGTGTCTTCCAGTGAATTCTCTCCTTAAAAACATTTGACAGTCAAATAGGACAAAGGGAAATGAGCTAAAAATGTAAACACCCAGTTTGTGGAAGGCTGTGGAGGATCTTGGGAGGCTGAAACCCATCTACAGAGTCAGATTAAGCTGCTGGCTGATCCCCTCTAGCCACAGGCAAAGGTCAGGAACAAGCTTACTATAAAACATAGGTCACGGTAGTCCTGATTATGCAGGATCAGCTTGATGCTGGCTCAGTTGACCTCCCTTTAGACCTGACCAGCATTTGGTGTAGGTGCCAGGATCTCCCGCTTGTTCCATGACAAGCACGTCTTCCCTGGCTTTTACAGTATTGATGGCGGTCTTTTCTTTTTCACTCATGGTTTATATTTTTATCTTTATCTTCCTACTGTTGTATCCTTATCACGTTATTTCATTTCATTCTTTACGGTTTCTGTTGGGTTTACCAGTTTGGGCCGCACATAAGCAGCAGAGAGCTAGAGATAGGACCCTGATGGCAGCATTGGAGGGGATGTAGGGGGAGGGGACGTGGGAAAGGTGAGGGGATTTGAAGAATAAGCAATGCAGGCTGCATGCTAACTCATACAGTGAGTGCTCGTTTTAAACAAAGAAAATATTCTAAGATTGATGTGGTCATGATTATACCGTTCTTCTAGATGTGATTGGCCTGTCGTGGCCTAGCGTAACACGAGGCGCTCCACTGTGTTTCAGACTGCCTTTAACCCCTGCGAGCAGTTAGCACCTTCTCTTCTTTGCTCTCTCAGCGCGCCACACCTTCTCTCTTCTGAGACATCGCCAAACTCTGCCTGCCAATTAGCCAGAAATGTACACTATCTTGTAACACCTTGAATTAGTACCTGCCGCTGGGTTTTCCCCTGCAACCCTGTTACCCTGCTAACCTGATAAGAATGTACCAGCTAGGATATCCCTCCCCTTGAGCCAGCCCCTATTCTGAACGATAAAAATTCTGGAATTTCTTTGATCTGGATCGACAGGTTTCCAGGTGCCGGGCTACGCTTAGTCCAGCTGTTTAATAAAGGCTTTAATTTTTAATATAGTGGTGTGGTTGATCTCTCCTGTTTACATCAGGACAAATGATTCTGTGATATATGGATTGCATGCCAACAAAACGGTATTAAAAATGAAAATGGAAACCCAACACTGTGTTGTGCTAAGATATGTATGACCTTCTTGGAATGAATGTTGTCTTAAGAATAAAAAAAAAAATTCCATGGGGTCATTTTAAACAGTGGTGCTTTCCCCAAGAATGGTTGTTAGAGCAATTATTTGACCATTTATAGAGAACCCTTCAACTACCCAGACGAAAACACTGGGGAATAATGCATTGATTTTTATTGTTTATTAGCATTTTCCAGGACAGAGCAAAGGTGTATAGACAGGTGCATCAGGTCAAGGGCTCTGAGATATTAAATCTTGTGAAATCCAACTAGGAAATACAGCACCTCTGCAAAATTCTCGGGCCATCCAGACCAGTTCTCCAAAGCCAGAGCTTGCAGTTGGTACTTGACATTGGTACACTCCCTGAGCACCTTTATGCAAGACATGTTATTGCACGTGATGACAGAGAGAACGTAGCAAGACCAAAACTTAACGAGGAGGCGTCTGCTTGCTTCCCTCTTGGTAGCAGACTCGTGTTTTTCCTCAAGGAAGCCCACAAGAAGAGGGATGAAATTCAGGAGTTTGGCTCGTATCTGGCTGGTGGGGTTGGAGTAGCACCAGCAGGCTACACTTTGGAGCAGCAGAATCTTCGTGTCCGGCACCAACACGTGGTTTTGCAGCAAGTCGTGCACTTCTTTCATGTACTCAGCCGCAAATTTCCCGGCAGTGGGTCCTCCTGCAAAACAGTCATTAGCATTTCCAGAAGTATTTGCTGTACCCACTTGGTAGTCAGCATTTCGTAATGCTCTTAAGTCTTGTTGCTAGGGAGGTGAGGTACGGGGGACCTTGACTTTTCCCATCTCTCCCCCCAGGTCTTGCCCTGCTGTGAAGACGAGAATGTGCATGTTGAACTAGGAAGTGCGCATTGATAAGGAAGGAGTGTATTAAGTAGAGTCCCTCCGTGGTGTCGATGGCTAATTGGCTGGCTGCCATCTGCAAGGTTAGAGGCCACTTTGAGGCTCCTTGGAAAACATACCTGGACACCTGTTTCTGAAAAATCACAGTCCGCTCGATGGCTCAATTTTCAGCCAAACAGTAGGTCAAACAATAAAGGGAACAGTAGCACTAGGGAGGCATACACATCTTAGAAGAATTACCAGTCGGAGATCAAAAGGGCAGCATTTATACAAGGACACAGGTCAGAAAGGAGGAAGGGAAACAGCATAGGGAGAAAGGGGTGAGTGATGCTACCCGGAGGGAGAGCAGTCAATGGCGTGAGACAAAATTTGTGTGTTTAGAAAACTGATGTGCTCGGTACACCTTCGCCCCACTCACAATAAAAAGTGAAAAAACAAAGTTTTTGAGTGATGAACTGGGACCCGTTTTACCTTCTCATGGGAGCGCTCTGAGCTCCCTGTATCACCCCCAGCTTTGACAGTAGTTCCCAACCATTTTGACACCGACACCCCCTTTGCGGTAGTTACACAATTTCACGGCAGCTTCAAAATACAATAAAAGTGTAAGGGAAGAGTCTAGTCTGTCAATCAGGTCACAGCCTGATGGTGACTCCTTGTGGGCGTGGCCTTCTCATAAGAAGGGTCCTGGGGACATTTCCTCGCCCTCTCTGCCTTCCTCTTCCTGCTGGCAGACCCTGGTTGCTGTCAGAGCCTGTGATTCGGTCACTGCCACTGGATCCACATGACTGCACCCTGCGACCTGTGATCTTCCTGCATTCTGCATCATGGCTTGTGACTGTGTGAGTCTTAAGAATGACTCATGGACTAGTACTGGACTTACTGACTTGAGTTGGACTGGGCTGGGATGTTTGCTTGATAAACAGTTACTCCTGGATATAAAGCTCTTTCTGACACATATGAGTGTCTATGGATTTGTTTCTCTAGTCAACCCAGCCTAACACACCCTGTTACTGTTTTCTCCCATGAACACCGTTTGTGGGAAGATTGAGTCTTTTAAACAACAAAGGAGCACTGTGGGTGTACTTGGCTCGACATTGAGCTGCAAAACAACAATGAAAACCAAACCAATTGCTGTTGAGTGGATTCTGACTCCTGGGGACGTCATTTATGTCAGCATAGAACTGAGCAGCAGAGGGTTTTCAATAGCGGTGATCTCTGTTGTACATTGCCAAGGCTTTCTTTTGAAGCATCTCTGTCAGGATTTAAATCACCAACCTATTGGTTGCTGCCAAGTGCCTAACCATCTGTGTCACCCAGGGACTCATCTGCCAAATGGCATCTAAGTAATGCTTTGTTACATTAACAACAAAACTAAGTCAATTCATCTAAGGATTTTGTAACTGCCAGCTAGAGCCTCTTATTAGATGTGTTTTTGAGAACTGTCTATGAAATATCTTGGCATATCTCGACATTTCTTAGGGGGAAAATGTGGAGTGAATTTGGATTGGACAACCAGTACAGCAGTGTGTGTTTAAGATGATTTACTACTTACTTTTCTAAGCAGGTATCCATTAATGATATGTTTCACAAGTGGCTTGCCTGGTTGGTCTTATACAAAATTCATGAAGACTTGTTTTTCAAATTGAGATGTCAACCTAGTCCACATGGAAAAACCACCCCAGCCTCTGTGATCCAAGGATTGAAATTACTATGATATAAATCTAAAGGGGGGAATGGAATCAGTTTAAATGATGAACACCTGATTTGCAGATGGCAATGGATGACAGTGGAAGCCCAAATCCATTGGCAGGATCCACACATGGATTAAGCCTCTGGTGAATGGCCTCCAATCATCATTGAGGGATGTGAGTAGTTATCAGACAAACAACACTATAAAGTCAACTATGGCAGATGTAGTTAGGTAAAAATATTTGAGTTTACTTTTGACCCACTTTAAAGCTGTTTCAGTAGAGAAAAAAAGGTGACTGGGAAGTACACGTGGATTAAGTTCCTGGTGAATTGCCTCTGACCATGAACCAGGGATGTGAACCGTCTGGCTAACAAGCACAATGCATTGGAAAGCAGATTGTTGCAGATGCAGTTCCACTGAAATCTAGCACTCTATCATTTGATCTCCCTTGCGATCCATTTACGTTTGTTCTCGTTTTTTAGTATTCTCTACTTTTCAGTTGAGGTTTTGATCTGTTTTCTTTGTTATTCTTACTAGTTTTTGTTTGTTTTTAAATGTTTTTCTGTCTGTGAAATCCAGGATAGGCAAATCGACAGGGACAGTGACTGGATTAATGGTTCCTTGGGGGTGTGGCGGGGGAGGTTGGGGACATATCACGATGAGCACAAGAATGAAGAAAATGTTCTACAAGTGATTGTGGTGGTTTCTGCACAAGTCTTGGTGTGATTGAACGATTGAATTGTATGGTATATGAATTCCATGCCAATAAAACTGTTGGAAAAACAAACAAACATTAAATTCATATTGATTTTTTCCCCTGAGTAATACATTTTATTTTCATAAGATAAAAAATAAAATGTTATTTTTAGTTTGAATTGGACTTATATCATCTCAGTATAGACTTTTTGGTTCTTGAAGCTTTTTTTTTTTTAAATCAATTTATTGGGGCTCATACAATTCATCACAATACATAGATCAATTGTGTAGAGCACATCTATACATTTGTTGCCCTCATCATTCCCAAAATTCGCTTGCCTCTTGGGTTCCCGGAATCAGCTCATTTTCCTCCCCCACCTCCCTTCCTCTGCCCCCTCCCCCATGCACCCTTGATAATTTATAAATTATTATTATGTCTTATATTACACTGCCCGGCGTCTCCCTTCACCTACCCCTCTGTTGCCCATCCCCCAGAGAGGAGGAGGTTATATGTAGTTCTCTGTGATCAATTCCCCCTTCCTATACCCCCCTTCCCTCCTGGTATCGCCACTGTCACCCCTGGTCCTGAGTAGTTCATCTGACCTAGATTCCCTGCATTTCCAATTCCCATTTGTACCGCTGTACATCATCTGGTTTCTTGAAGCTTTTATAGGCACTATTAGTATATATATTTTTAATAAAATGGGAAAACAATTAGTAATTTATTTAATGGACACATTCTTTTGCAATGAAACCCTTAAGTATAAAATAATTTGCAGAATCTTTGCTATTGAAAAGTAAAACAGCCAAACAGATCATTTAAGCAAAGGATAGATTGATGGAATTCTAAGAGTAATGTTATGCACTGGATGGCTAACTACAAGGTCAGCAGTTTGAAACCACCAGCCACACTGTGAGAGAAAGACAAGGCTTCTATTTTTGTAAAGAGTTACAATCTTGGAAACCCACCGGGGCAGTTCTACCCTGTCCTGTGGAGTCCACGGGAGTCAGGATTCACTCAACAGTGGTAAATTGGTTATAACAAGCAAAGGGATTTTGAACCATGTGTTTCAGCACTGCTGGTTGAGTCAGTACCTGTGTAGGCCAATATTCCAATTCTGTAGGCAGCTTGAGCTCTCTTCTCCATGGTTAGAGATGTGGTCATCAACATCTTACCTAGGACCACAATTTTTTCTTTGTGAAAAATGCTCTCCGTGGAAGGGATATGTTCTTTCAACTTCTTTTTAACAAAAAGTACCATGACATTGTCTTTCCAGAATTTCAGGAAGTAGCGATATAGATCCACAAAATAAAGATAAATCCAAGTAAAAGCACAACATCGGTCATAAAGATAACGGCCCTTAGACATTGTGTAAAAAGCCCAATGGTGTCTCAGGTATGTTGCTGTGGCGGTCAACGGAGTTCACAGTCAAGAATTCTGGAATGTGTCCCTTAGCAACACTAGAATGGCATTGATAGGATTGGCTCAGGGGTAGAAATCTTGTCTTTCATCGGGGAGACCTGGGTTGATTCCCTGCCTGTTCAACTCCTGGAACCCACCTGTCTGTGCAGGGGTGTGTGCTGCTATGGCACTGAACCGGTTTCAGTGCAGTCTCCTGGCGGAGTGGAAGAATGTCTAGACCATAAAACCCCGTGGATCACAACTGTCTGTACTCCAGATGTGTTTTCAGTCTGCAACTTGATGTCTTTCTTTGTATATCTAAGAAGCATCACAGACTGTCTATATCCAATACAGAATTACGTCCTTTTCTTAGCTTCTTAGTTTTCTGTCTCGCTGATGGTCCTCAACACAGAAGGAACTCTTGGTTTCTCAGGTTAAATATTTTTGTATTCATCCTTCACTTATTTTTATTTCACATCCCATGTCCAATCAATCAGCAAATTCCATTAGCTCTAGTTCTAAAAATACATCCCAAATATGATATTTTTATAAGAAATTGCCAGTACTCTTCAAATATATAAATGTCTTCGGACCAAAAAAAAAGGGGGGGGGGAGCAGCATGATTTAGTGTTGTAGGGCAAAGATGCCTGACCTATTGGTTGCTGCCAAGTGCCTAACCATCTGTGTCACCCAGGGACTCATCTGCCAAATGGCATCTAAGTAATGCTTTGTTACATTAACAACAAAACTAAGTCAATTCATCTAAGGATTTTGTAACTGCCAGCTAGAGCCTCTTATTAGATGTGTTTTTGAGAACTGTCTATGAAATATCTTGGCATATCTCGACATTTCTTAGGGGGAAAATGTGGAGTGAATTTGGATTGGACAACCAGTACAGCAGTGTGTGTTTAAGATGATTTACTACTTACTTTTCTAAGCAGGTATCCATTAATGATATGTTTCACAAGTGGCTTGCCTGGTTGGTCTTATACAAAATTCATGAAGACTTGTTTTTCAAATTGAGATGTCAACCTAGTCCACATGGAAAAACCACCCCAGCCTCTGTGATCCAAGGATTGAAATTACTATGATATAAATCTAAAGGGGGGAATGGAATCAGTTTAAATGATGAACACCTGATTTGCAGATGGCAATGGATGACAGTGGAAGCCCAAATCCATTGGCAGGATCCACACATGGATTAAGCCTCTGGTGAATGGCCTCCAATCATCATTGAGGGATGTGAGTAGTTATCAGACAAACAACACTATAAAGTCAACTATGGCAGATGTAGTTAGGTAAAAATATTTGAGTTTACTTTTGACCCACTTTAAAGCTGTTTCAGTAGAGAAAAAAAGGTGACTGGGAAGTACACGTGGATTAAGTTCCTGGTGAATTGCCTCTGACCATGAACCAGGGATGTGAACCGTCTGGCTAACAAGCACAATGCATTGGAAAGCAGATTGTTGCAGATGCAGTTCCACTGAAATCTAGCACTCTATCATTTGATCTCCCTTGCGATCCATTTACGTTTGTTCTCGTTTTTTAGTATTCTCTACTTTTCAGTTGAGGTTTTGATCTGTTTTCTTTGTTATTCTTACTAGTTTTTGTTTGTTTTTAAATGTTTTTCTGTCTGTGAAATCCAGGATAGGCAAATCGACAGGGACAGTGACTGGATTAATGGTTCCTTGGGGGTGTGGCGGGGGAGGTTGGGGACATATCACGATGAGCACAAGAATGAAGAAAATGTTCTACAAGTGATTGTGGTGGTTTCTGCACAAGTCTTGGTGTGATTGAACGATTGAATTGTATGGTATATGAATTCCATGCCAATAAAACTGTTGGAAAAACAAACAAACATTAAATTCATATTGATTTTTTCCCCTGAGTAATACATTTTATTTTCATAAGATAAAAAATAAAATGTTATTTTTAGTTTGAATTGGACTTATATCATCTCAGTATAGACTTTTTGGTTCTTGAAGCTTTTTTTTTTTTAAATCAATTTATTGGGGCTCATACAATTCATCACAATACATAGATCAATTGTGTAGAGCACATCTATACATTTGTTGCC